GACTCATCTCGGCATTGTTAAGATTTGAGCAGAATTTTTATATCTACCTAGCATGTGGAGACAAGAGTGTATTAGAAAGCTACAGAAAGAGAGCTATGGGTGAGAGATGAGACTAATTTAGACCAAGTGAAATATAGATCCATGTGATTCTTGAATTTAGACATTATTTAGATTTGTGAAAATTTATTTTCAACTTGACAAGTGGTAAGTGAATAAATAGGAAGATGCAGAAAGAGGGTTATGGGTTTGAGATGAGGCTAGTTTAATCAAGTATGACACTGACTCATGAAAATCAAGTAGTTCTTAGATTTAGAGGGTTAAGGTTAGTGGTCAGCAGAACTGCGGTGAGTTAGGTAAATATTGGGGTAAAAGGAGACAGTCATGATCTCGCGAAAAGCATGTAGACTCTTTTAACTCCAGTGCTTGTTGGACAGATAGAGTTCAAACTTAGAATTCTGTCGAATTTCATAGGATGACGCACAAATTAAAAAGGCAAACAAAGAAAGTCATCTATGAACTTCCACTAATAATAAAATTATTCTCAGAAAAATTAAGATCAATCAGATGAGGATAGTCAGACTGCAGATACTACAATTAAATCTCTATTATTCTTTTTCATTTACGACTTTGAGAAATTTTTGGATAACACTGTAAATGGTGTAAAGGAAGAGCGAAACAAAGTTACAAAGTATATTCCTCACCATTGAAATAACATGCACATATCTTTTTACTTTTGATTATGAACATATGTACATTTGTACCAGACATATTTCTCATTCAAATGTTAGGCGATTTCGCATTAAATCTCATTGTGTTTGCTGAGAAACTCACGTAAGATTTGTACTTATGAGATGTGAAGAATAAGTTACATTTGAAACTTGTTTCTTTCATAAAACTTATATACTTAATTTAAATTAAATTTAAACTAAATACGTAATTCTTGAAATGCTATAAAATTATCAAATATCATTAGGTGTTTAAAGCTTGTAGCATAGCTACCACTACAACCATTAAATTCCGATCACTAGTATACAAGACATGTTAACTGGATTTTATCAGGAGGTACCTTTACAGGGTTCCCACTCTTTCAACAAAGCAAAAATTAAGCACTTTTAAGAACTTTTTTTTGAAAAAATTAAGTACTTTTTTGAAAAATTAAGGACTTTAAAAATAATATGTTTGTTTATCATCGATTATCCCACCAGTGATAGTGCAAATTACTTAGAGTCTTAAAAAATTCAATAAATAAAAAAAATCATAAAACACAATTTCATTATAATGTAAGCACTAATATAATTATATTAATTAACAGGGCTCGCCAAAGAACTACCAGGCAGTTTTTGCAAACACGGGTCGGGTTTTTTTCAAACATTTTCAGATTTTCAAAAGTTAACGTCATTCAGATTGTAAAAGTTAACGTATGAAACCAAATTGTGTTCCATTTTCAATGATTTCATCGAAATTGAAACAGTTGAACTGAAATTTTTTTCCTGTCAACCATAGTGATGCTAAAAAATTAAGTACTTTTAAGGGTCCTTATTTTCCAAAATAAAAATTAAGCAGTTTTTAAGGACTTTTAAGGACCGTGGGAACCCTGCTTTAGATGATGGCTGACATTGTCAGTAGCTTATCCCCACATTGGTGACAAGGACGTGATCTGATCACGCCTTCACTTGATTTGAACATACCTAGTTCGGCGAATGGTTTACAGTGAATAGTTGACTTGCTATTTGTGACTGTAACATTGTCCTCTTCACGCTGTTGAGATTTGCACCAATCAGATTTTAAAAATTAGTTGCATTTGAATCGTGTTTCCACCATTAGCTAACGTTAAAGGTAATAGCCCAAAACTACTACAAACTACTGTTTTGTTTTTTTTAAATCACAATGCTCACTACATACCTTTTTTTTTTTTTAAAGTAGCACATTACACTACAAACTATGAAAAAAAGTTTAGATTACACAGTAATTTCAGTACTAATGCTATAAGTAAGCTTGACTATACTAATATGTTTATTTTGGAAAGATTTCTACATTGTGATCTGCGACAGAATAATCGCCAAGTCTTGGCAACTTCCAGGCAGCGGCCCATGAGAAACTAAAACAAATCGCAAAAGGGGTCTAACTCGAAGAGTGTAACTTGTAGCCACCCCTGGGCAAACTTCTACAAGTTTTTTTTTTTCTTTTTAATATTACAAGTTTAAAATTTCTTTGGCACCTTGGTGTTGTAGTTGGCGCAGCAGATCACGATATGAAAATATTCCCCTTAATTTTCCATATTTAAAAGAAAAATTTTCTTAAATTTATTCAATTACAAATAGGTTTAATTACATTACAACAAATCAAACAATCCCTACATTCAATTTCAATGATTAAAAAAAAATTCTCTTAACGTTAGAATACCGGTTTAAAAAAAGGGAAGATTTCCGTATCTTGATCTGTTGCAGAATAATCGCCAGGTCTTGGCAACTTCCAGGAAAAAACCAATGAGAAACAAAAAAAAATATCACAGAAAAAGACCAACTCGAAGGGTATAACTCGTAGCCATGCCCGGGAAAACCTCTACATATTTCTTTTGCCAAAATTTTTTCCTTTTAAAATTAATTTGGAGCCTTGGCAATTGTAGTTGGGGTGGCAGATCACAATGCAAATTCAAAAAAATTACTTCAGCAGAGAGTTATATAACAATTTTATTTTAATATTTGCTATTTACGTGTACTCAAATAATTGCTTGTCTAACATAGTTAATCAAGCTTGTAAATGTAGCGAAATACACATGAACTTTGGTAAAACTAGACATAGGCTAGTATGAGCCTGCCCTACCCTAAGAATTTAACGCCCGAAATATTTGTTTTGATAATATTGTAAATACTAATATTATATTTGGATCAATGAAAACATTCCAATCTATTCTATGCATTTTATTACCTATATAATTGTTATCATTACCTTGAACATGTTTCACTATTAACAAATTACACATGCTTTTATTACAAAGGCAACCATATTATCTAATAAACAATCTAAACAAAAATCAAAATGTTGACTTAAATGTTAAATATATTCAGATTATGTGAATATCAACAAAAAGATTGTAGCATAGTTCAAAGTTGTAGAGATCTAAAATTTTCAATAAAATGCATGTACTTAAATAACATACTTGCATCAAAAGATATAAAAATTTTCAGAATAATTCGAGCAGAAATTGTATGCGATTTCACCAAATTAATAAACTTTTTATATTATAATAATTATTACAAACGCATAAGAAAAATAAGTGTATATATTTCAGGTTGTGGGATTTTAAATAAAATCTGAAAAGCTTCCGCAGCAAGAATAAAAAGAAATAATTATGTTCTTTTATTCAAAAAGTAGCAAAATTTACTAAACAATAAATGAGGTAAAGCAACATTTTTATGCAAGTGATTACTTTAAGATTGATGGGTAAAATATAAAGAGCATTTGGATCATAAGATAAATAAAGCCGATTATTTGCAGGCATTACATAATGTAGCTACATCAATCGCAAACAAAATGACTTCGCAAATTACAACCAAATATCAAAACAATATTAATTCAATATATGATTCAGCTTCATAAATTCTAAAATGCATAGCTACAACATTACAAGAAAAAAAGAGAATTAAAAAGAATCTGAAATTGATTCTAGACAGATTCAATTAAAATTAAAGCTATTATTTTCACAATTTTGCTGTAATTCAGTCATATGAATGTGTTAAGATTTTTAAATAACCTGAACTCAAAAAAATTCCAAAACTTTTTTAAGGAGACATATTATTTTGTAATGAGCAACTGTCAAACGATTTTTGTCAATTTATTAAACCTTTTAGCAATTATTATATAAACATAAGAAAAATAAAAGCTTCAAATTAAAGTTTCTGGTATTTAAAACGTTACAAACTACCCACAACAAAAATTAAAAAATAAGTATGTAAACCCTCAAAGATACTGAACATACTTTAATTATTAATTAAACATAATAACTGCATAATCAAACTACAGAAATCAAAATTTTAATGCAATCAAGTACCTAAAGATTTTTGGCTAAAATGTAAAGAATATTCAGAATATAAAAATATCATCTAAGAGATGGCAGAGCTCAAAATGTTGCAGAGATTTTAATAACACTGCAAACAAAATGCACAACCAAATTATGTACTACAAATATTAAAAATGATATAAAATTAGTATGTAATTTGACTTCATATCTTCTAATGTGCTTTAATATATTCCTAGTGCATCAAAACATTGCAACAAAATATAAAAATTACTTGTTTACAATATATAAAAATTTTGTTATAAAGGGTATATACACATTTTAGCGAGATTAATAAATCTTTTATATTTTATTAATTATTGCCTAATAAGAAAAAAATCATATAATATTAAATATTAGGCATTTCAAATAAAATCTAAACTTTTCCCAAATTAATAAAATTTTTAAAAAAATATATGTTATTCTTTTAACAAATTATATATCCTTTTATTCTAAAGACAACAATACTTAATAAACAATGTATGACGTAAATCTAACTTTTTTATGCAATTGATTATCGAAAGGTTTACGTGCAAAATATAAGGAAATTTCAGATTATGGAAGAATATCAACAAACTGCAGAGGTCAAAATGTTGTTGAGATCTATATTAAGCAGCAAACAAATGCATACCCAAACTATGCATACTAATATCAAAATAGATATTAATTCAAAACGTAATTTGACTTTGATGCTTTTAAAATTCATTGCTTCAATGTTAAGAATAAAAATTAATTATAAACATTTTTTTATAAAAAGAACGTTATTATTTTTATTTAAACTAATAACTAACGAATTAAAATATTTATGTATTTATGCCACGAATTTCTATCAAATATAAATCCAAATAAATTAGCCTTAAACAAATATGGAAGGACAGACATGTTTACAAATCTATATGACATATTTGCGTAAGTCGGAAACAAACAAATGAAGAAATCTCACCTGCAGTTATGCAGACTATAATGATACAGCTGATCCCCCTCATCAGCCTATTGGTCTGCATGGCGGCAGACGTCTGGCACAAGTCTGGCAAAGCTTTCACAGTCTTTCTCAAGTAGAGAGACGTTTGAGGGACCGTCTCCTCATTATAATTTCTCTACCAAACAGCTGATCGAACATCATCGTTCAACTTAATATTTGAAATCTTAGATTTTTTTTATTTCACTAGCTGAATTTCTTCATTAGTTTAATTTATAAGTTCTTAAATAGTTTAATGGCAATGATGCAAGATAAAAATAAATAAATAAATATTTAAAAATGCCGACGAAAAGAATTCTTGCACAATTATATCACAAGATTTATTCTAGCTGTTTCGATAATTCACAAAATCGTTTGAAATTTATATTTTGCCAACAATTTTTTTTAAAAATATGCAAAAAAGATAACAGCATTCGATATCATAAAGGTCAATTTTTTTCAAACACTGCTGAATTTTAGATTTTTATCTGAAAATAAAAGAAAAAGTCGCATAAGTCTGAAACGTTATCTCAAATGAATTTTAAAAAAACAAAAAAAAAGGAAATGTATAAATAAGCCAGACAAGCTAATCGTTATCAAAGGGTTAAAAAAATAACTTTTCTCTTCCGCTTTTGAACGGAGCGTGCGTTTTAAATCAAGGGTGAATATAATACAAATTAATATTTGCAAATAAGGCCATTCAATAACGTTCGTCTTTCTTCACTTTCATTTTCATGTTTTAGGAAGTAAATTCATTGCCAGAGCAGCAGTAGAGTTTCGTACCAACATACACATCACGATCGCTCTGTTCCGTAGAGAGAATGAACAGTGAATTGAAAATCTGCGCGAAACCGTTCGCAGTGGCGGACCTGCAGACAGTCTGGCCTGTGGAAGATACCACATTAACTAACAGGGGTGAAGAATTCGTCAGACGAATGGGATTGAAACAAAAAAAAAATAAGAAGCGAAGAAATGAGAAAAGGGAGTTCGATGCTTTTCAACCTCAATTTTAAATATTCTTTTCTATTTTTTTGTTCGTTATTGTCTGGCTTTTAGAGGTGATTAGAACAAGGGAAAGCGCCAGCTAAAATCATCGATTTTGTTTAAATTATCGTTTCGTCCGAAAAGCGAAAGACAATCCGGCTTAGCATGTTATTTTAGGTTAATTATTTTAAGTGAATTTTTTAAAAACACTATTGGATTAAAGTTCAAAAGTCAATGTTTGTTCCTAATACGATATTAGTGCGTAAAATTTAGATCTATAATCGAACAAATAATAGATGGGTGAACTTTAAGAAAATAATATTAAAAACTGTAAATTCTAAAATAATTTTTTTTTTTTAACTTTTTTAATCCTGGTTTACAGTTTTTATAAATCTATTGTTGCATTTAATTTGGGGCAAACAATAAATACTAAAACTTATCATTTTAAAGTTATTTTACTGAATTTAATTAGAAATCTCAATTAAAAAAAAGTTTTTGAAAAATGCACATTTTGCTAATCTACAAAAAGCTTTTAAATTAATTATAACAAAAGAGAATTATTATGTTATATTATAATGATCTACATTATAATAATTACATATATTATAATAATTATATATGTTATAATAATTATATATGTTAAATAAATGTAAGCTTAGAGTTATTTGAATTCTCTTTTTAACTTTTGATTTTAATAAACTATTTTTAAAATAAAAATCATTGCTTACTCCAAAATCATAGAACATTAAGAAATTCAAGAGCCCGGGTCTCACAGGTCTTATTATAAATGCAGCATTTTCTGACCGATTCAATTTAAATGTAGTAAATAATATCTTGTTTTAATCCGTACTTCAATTTTAAAAACTCATATTAATAGAATTTTAAATTTACTTTAAAGATATGAATTTTATGAAAATAATTTTCCTAATGCTTTTTTCTCTCGTATTCTCAAAAACTGACTAAAAACAACAACTACAAAAAAGGTTTGCCACCACTTTTTATTTTCCAAAGCATTGAAAATGTAACTGAAATGTAACTTCACATTGTCTCGCAGAGGCCAGTGAAAGGGGCACAGGGAGCTAGAATATGCTTAACTTTCTTCTTAATGATACATATCTATTTAGAGATAAATAAAACTTATATTTACCCTATATATAAGATTTTTTTCTCTGATAAAAAATTTCTTTCCTCCGTAAAACAGATAATAAGAAAATGAACAATACTTTCATACTTGTGGTCAACAATGGGAAGGGGTAAAGGGACAAAATCTTCCACACACCTGCCATGGTCTTAATACTGAAGAGAATCCAGTTTATTGTATTTCTGCTTACTGTACTCATATATAACTCCGCCCCCTCCCCCTGTTGAACTCATAAAACTTAAAATCACACTTTGAATAAACTTTGAATGTTAAAAAAATTTTCAATGACTTTCACAGAAGAAAAAAAAGATTGTTAATAATAATTAATAAAAATGCTTAGTCACATTTTTTGCTTTTTAACAATTTTATAATAATATTTTATGCACTTCTATGGTCATGAAGTGGTGCTTGTTTCATTCATTCATTTCTGAGCCACTATGGCATAGTGGTTAAGACACTGAACTGTCTTCCTGAAGAAATAAGTTTCGATCCCCCGTGACGGCTTTAGCTTCAGATCGATAGGTACCAGCTTATTTGGGAAGTAAAGGCGGTCTGTGCGCTGTGTTGACCACATTGCCGCACCGTACACTTGGTAGCGAAAATCTTGAACCTTAACCTACAAGCAGTGCCGGATTACCCATTAGGCCAGACTAGGCCATGGCCTCAGACCCCAAAGGATTAGGGGCCCCCTTAAAATGGGTTTTTTTTTTTAAATTTAAAAAATTAAGAAAAACAATGATTTTCTTTTAAAAAATCAATTTCAAATATATATTATTAAAATAAGATAATTTTTTTTACATATTNTTACATAATTTCAATCATATTTATTTATTACTTAATTTATTATATTAAATTTAATTTATTATTATTTATTTTTATTTTAAATATGCTTTCTTAAATGAAAAGATATATAAATACTTTTATCTTTGAATAAATAAAAAATATATGAGAAAAAAAATTTAATCTAGGGGCCCCAAAAATTTGAATGGCCTGGGGCCCCGCGTATGCTTAATCCGGCACTGCCTACAAGCCTCCCCCCGGCCCACAACGGGTAGCTGTGGGAATGTTTTGCTTTACTTATATTTCTATAACCATGCCGTTACATGATGAAAATACAATTCAATCTAGTCAATTTTGATGAAAATATTGAGTAAAATTTTAAATTATTTGTATGGAAATAAATTGAACTTATACCTTTACATTTTAAACATAATAACTAATTAAACTTTTTTTTTAAATATTACGCAAATGTGAAATACGTGATGTCGTTTATAAAAGTACGTAATCAGGTCGATCAGCCTTCAATAGTATCTGTTTTTTAATACAGTTGATACTGAGTAAATCATATTTCATAGTCTAATGATAGTTATATTTTAAAAATTATCAATGAGAAATCCAGTAGTTCTTTGAACTATTAAACAAATCTATAAGCACTTGAAAAACTTCGAAGAAGTTTTAAGATATATACAAAAGTTCCTTTAAAGTTTTGAATACATTTTGTGTTTCGTTTAAGAAGTTTAAAAAAAAAAAAAAATCTGAAAGTCTTAACAGTCAATTATTGGGGGGAGGGAAATAGAGATAGAGCCCGCGTTGGCAACTTAAAATAAGAAAATGATCATTTACGTTTACGTGAGTTGAGAAATTGTTTCGGTTTGATAGTAAACAATTTAGGGTTCGACAATTAACCAATTTTTCACATTCCTCAATAAGTATTGATTTCTAACACATTCTTTCAGAGGAAAAATACCTAGGAAACAGTTGCAAATTGTATTGTCAAATTGTATAGAGATCCAACTAAAATTGAAACCCTCCAGCTATTCTGAAAGAACTAAGAATTTACAATAATGGTTTTAATTACCTTTGACAATGATATCCAGATAAATTCTGTTGCAGCTTTCAGGGGACTATTCAAACTCATATTGTGATCCAACAAAAAGCTACAATAAAAATTTGAGTGCTGTAGCTATTCGAAATGGGGCTGGAATTTTTTACTGTTACAATTTATTCATTTATTTATTCATTTTCTGTTTGTTTATGTTCTAGCAACGCATATATTTTTGAGGATTAGAATCACTTTATGGCTTCATTGCAAAAATATTTCATATAAAGAAAAAAAATCATATTTTTAGAAATATATTCGCACTAATTTTTTCAAACAATTGTTATTTTCTCAATTTTATATAATTTTTTTACTCGATAACTAAAATTCTGTATTTAAAAATATATTTAGTTTACCTCAGCATAAAAACTGAGGGCAAACACCAAAATGTCTTACATCGTTCAGAAAGAGATCGGAATTTTAATAATGACAAATTTCATTAGCAATAAATATCGCAATATATTCTTCTTGTGGTGATTAGGGGATGATTTGAAATTATATTGTCATTTATCAAAGAACAACAAATTAAATTAAAATGGAGTACTGTCATCTATTAAAGACCCGCAATTAAAATTAGTATTCTAGCTATTCAGATCGGTCAGATTTTTCAAGGGTGATAAATTCCGTTTAAATTATTGAAATAAATTCAGGGTAAAGGAACGATTTAAATAGTACATTGTAATTTCAATTTTTACCAAAGAGCTTCAAATTAAAAGAATGTCCTAGCTATTTGGAAACAGTTGGGAATTTTTCATTAATGATGATTACCTTTGGCTATAATATCAAGCTGTATTCTGTTTGTGGCAATCGAGAAACGATATATAGTTATATTATCATGTAGAAAAGAGCAACAAATAACATTAGAGTGCTGTTCGGAAATAAGTTGGAATTCAATGGTAATATAAATTCCGTTTAAATAATTGAGATTAATTCTGCTTGTAGTGCTCAAAAAACGATTTAATATTGTCACCAGCGGAGAACAACAAATAAAATTTAAGTAGAATACTGTTCTGAAAGGGGTCGGAATTTTCAATCGTAATAAATTCCCTTTGTTTGCGACAAAGTCTACCTTTAGAGGGTAAGGGAATGATTTAAATATATCGTTAATTGTCGAAGAGCATCATTTAAAATGAGTGAGTGCCCTTTGAAAAAAGATTGGAATTTTCAACTATTAGGATTTCTTCTGGCTGTAATATCGAGATAAATTCTGTCTGTATCACTTAGGGAACGATTTCTGTCATTCAGCAAAGAGAAGCAATTAAAATTAGAGTAGATTGCTGTACGGAAAGAGGTCAGAATTTTTAAAGCTGATAAAATATCTTTTCCTATAAACATCGTAAAAAATTCTGCCTTTAGAGGTGAGGACACGATTTAAATATAGAGTTAATTGTCAAAGAGCTTCAATTACAGTGAATGCCCTAGTTATTTGGAAAGGCGCGGAGTTTTCAATGATGATGATGATTCCTTTTGTCTATAATATTAAGATAAACTCTTTTTCTAGCACTCAGGAAACAATTTGAGCTTATATTGTAGAAATTCTACTTATAGTGCTCAAAAACGATTTATTATTGTCACCAGCAGAGAACAGGAAATAAAATTTAAGTAAAATACTGTTCCGAAAGGGGTCGGAATTTTCAGTGGTAATGAATTCCCTTTGGTTGCGATAAAAATAACGATAAATTCTGCCTTTAGTGGTAAGGGGAATGATTTAAATATATAGTTAATTGTCAAATTGCTTCAATTACAAGGAGTGCCCTAGCTATTTGGAAAAGGCACGGAGTTTTCAATGTTGATTCCTTTTGTCTATAATATCAAGACAAATTCTTTTTATAGCACTCAGGAAACGATTTGAACTTGTATTGTTCTGAAGCAAATAAAATTA